ACCAAGTCACTGACTCGCGTCATTTGTTCGTATGAGATATACGACACCGGCCTTATTTATAGCAAGCTCATTAGAGTAACTTCTCTGATGGTTCTTTCTACCTTAACTAAGTTGTCATTTATGAGATAAGCTCTCAACTGACTCATGCAATCTCTTCCTTTTTCTTGTCTGACCAAGGCTTCTTGAGACTGTAATTAAGCACACACTTAGTCCAAACAATCTCTCAAGATAAGCACCCACCTTTATCTCCTTTGAATTGCTGCCAACAGCTAAAGTACCAAATTAAATGTGAAAAAACAACCAAGTACAAAGTCCACACAGAGCTTCAAGGTTTAATCTGAACAGAGTGAATGACTGATTCCTGCAAAGGATTCTCTACCTTTGCACCCGCTTTATACCTTATGAGAAGGGCAATCACCTCCAAGCCTTACTCCCGAGTCACCCCTTTTGTCTCAGCTGTTCTTGCCTTCTAGCAGCTCTGCGCACATGCGCACTGGGAACAGGTTCCCCTTGTTCCTCTGCCTCGCTGCTGCCAGACTCTGGAGGCTCCGGAGTCAGCACCCCACTCCCAGATGGTCCTGGCCCCATCTCTGCATCGGACGCAGGACCCTTGTCCGAGTCCTCCCCAGACTCCTGGACTGGTTCCCATTCTTCCCCACTGTCCGATTCCCTTGCCATCTGCACAGGCTGCCCGTGAGCCACAACATTTCTATTTCTTATTTTATTGTTTAAAAGAGACACACAGAGGAGAGTAAAAGAAAGAAAGAAATTTATGACTTACTAAATATGAATGAAAAGCATTGTGAAAAGATGTCCAATAAATGTGTCTTCCTCTTCACTTCTTTTTGTGTCCCTAAGCCAAATGGAAGGTTAGACACTCTGTACTTTACATTAAAACTTGCTGCTGGTTTCTGTTTAAGTCCCAAAAATCCTATTCTAAATATTAAGGGCATGTACCACAAAATTTTGTCATTGCAACATATTTTCCAATTTTAGTCTTCTAATCTAACATTGTCAGGAATATACAAATACTCTCTCTTTTTTTTTTTCCAGCATTGGGCCAAATTTATTTTTGCTGCTCTCTATATCTATATCTCTCAATGAATTATGAAAATTTTCATTTGTGCTTTCTAGAAGTATCTCTAATTAAAATATTTAAGAGTTGCAGTCCCAATTTCATTTTTAAGAAGTTTTGGAATATTTTGATATATTTCTATTGTTTTCAGGTGTTTTATTTTAATATAGCTACCTTATGATTGAGGTAGGGTCTTGGTTGCAGCATTTCCAACATTTGTGGTTATATATCTTCGATGTTTTCTTGGCAGATTTATTTTTCATCAAACATTTTATACCAATTTCCCCATAAATTATAACTGGAATAAATTTTATTAACTTTCCCCCCTCATAATTCTTCCCATTGATCCACTGAAAATGTTTCTTTAAAATTTTGCTTTCGAGTTATCTTGCAATTTTTGATTTGTTCTTTCATTACCTGCCATCTCTTAGCGGTTTGCTCCTTCTTCCATTCCTTTCCATGAGGCCTCACAATATCACACAGGGAGGGCAAAGCACAGGTAGAGGTGTTTTCCTGATCATGTGGCTTTCTTTCATCACAGGAATATCTCCCTCACCCCGCCATTCAGGAGCATCATATACCCTCCTCCAAAACATTGTTGGACTCCAACACTATCGCTCATTATGGCCAATCTTGAAGGCTTGTGGGAATTGCAATACAACACTATTTGGAGAACATTATTTTGCCCACCCTTGTTTTAGCCAACTCGTGGCCTAGCAGTCAAACATAGTGTCCCAGTAAGTGGACTATTTACACAATCTTAAGTTTAATGTGCCACAGGTTACAGAAATCCAGAGTAGACTTAATATTTCTATAATTGCAGTCATGAGCAAACATGAACATAGTAGTTTTATATGCTTACGATTCTAATTGCCATTAATTCCATGCTAAAGTTTTGTGTGTATATGGAAGTCTTGAACTGCATTATTGTACATGGTGGATTTTATATTACTTAAGTCTTCCATTTTGTAAATCAGGGGATAATTAAATCAGAAAGTCTGACCTATTCTTGTTTGCTTCTGCTAATATACTTCTTGTAAATGTTTATTGTTTGAATGTATTGTAGTAAGTTGACTGGTTTAGAATAGAGGTCATGGGTGCAATTACAAGCAATTACCAGTCATTATTGCTGTGAGACAGCTAATTTCATAATACATCTTTTCTGAATGCGGTAAGTTCCCATGCATGCAGGCTGTGAAGGGCTAATGGAATTATTCTTCCCAAGGCTATTTCTCTTTCTGAAAGTAGATTTCTTGAAGGTTCTCATAGAAGTAATGAGAAAAACATTGGAAAGGCCACCAGTGTAACAGTATTTTCCTAAACTTTTCTATTACTCTTTACTGTATCTTTATGATCAATTAGTCAACATAGCTAATAGCAGAAAAACTAATAATTATATGTAAACAAGGTCAGATAACCCCATGCTGGGAATTCTGAAGTTTTGAGCCCCAACCTTTCTGTATAATGGGAATACAGATCACATTTAAGATGCTTCTGTCCTATGCTCCTCCTGGCTTGACTCTAAGAAGGCTTAAGAAAATCCTGCCTGGATTCGAACACTGGCAACAGCTAGCGAAATAGTCTGGATTGTAGATATCCACATATTTCTTTGGACATTTTCTTTGTTTCTGTCACCATTCCATCTTCTGAAAAGCAATGGCCAATCACTTTCCTTTTTGCGAGTAGATCCTATATACATACTTATGTGTGTGTGTTTGTGTGTGTGTGTATTTGTTTATATACACCAACCCACACAAGTTCAGTTAAATTTATACTTGTAAGATTTACAGTTACAAGATTAAAGCATCAACCTGCAAATATGCGTTCTCTCCTTTTTTTCCCATCAAGAACTTCTATATACTTTCCCTTACCAGCATTGAGGAAATAGTACAGTGGGTTAAGGTTAGGACTTACATTTTTGCCTAGCACACAGAAATTTGCTGCTGTAAAACCCGATAGAAACATTTTGCCTTTCTTTTAAAGAAATACAATTTTTGGTTTTCTTTAAAAAAGAAAAAAGAGCCCAGACTTTGATTGTTTTACTATTTTTAAGTCAGATGTAATACAAGAGCTCAGTTCCTAAAGAGCCCAGGTATACTTATGAGCTTGGGGGCCTAACTATGTCCCAAGCTGTATTGTGTTCTTAGAAAGTGTTACTGAGTCCAAAAGACTTATTTTAACAACTCCTTCATAGCATGAGCTTGGTTTGTTCCCACAGGGCAGCATCTAGCGTTTGTAGGGACATGTTGTAATTACGTGTGTTTGACATTTATGTTCTTTTCTTGGCATTTTCATTTGTATCCAGCAGTAATATAAATGATGCTCTCTTCTTCTTTAGGATATTTTGCTGGCTATAACTGTGGCGAGTGCAAATTTGGATGGACAGGGTCCAATTGTGATGAAAAGAAGCCTCCAGTGGTCCGGAAGAACATCCACTCTTTGACAAATGAAGAGCGAGAGCAGTTTTTAGATGCTCTCCATCTTGCCAAGGCTACTATCCATCCTGACTATATGATTGCAACCCAGCATTGGTTGAGTCTGCTTGGTCCCAACAGAAATGAGCCACAAGTTGCAAACTGCAGCATTTATAATTACTATGTGTGGCTTCATTATTATTCAGTCAGAGATACTCTATTAGGTTGGTGCTTTCCAGTTTGGTGGGAGGTGTCATGCCCCTGTCGGAATCTGATTCGGAAGGGGAGGCTGAGGGAGTGGGAGTGTGGCTCCGTTGGTTGTGGAAGAAACTGGGGAAGGGCAAAGTCCGGCTGGGCAGAGCAGGGGAGAGGTAGAGCAAGGGAGAGGGAATTCGGAAGAAGACCCAGGTCCACCCCCTCTTCATCCTAGGGCACCCAGGGAGGAACGGAGAAGGGAGCAATGTGAGTTGTGTGGCTTGCAGGGGAGGAAAGGGCCCTAATTCCCTTCATTAGCTGGGAACACAGTGTTTAAAAAGGGAAGCTGCGCATAGCAAGTTGTTGGGAGCAACTTGTGAATTATCTGGTATCATTCAGGCTTATCTGTGTTCCTGGCATCTTCCCAACTGTGTGTGTTTGCTGTGCTTTCAAGTCTGCAATTCCTTCTTCTGCCCTGTCAAGTTAATTACTACAGTGTGATTTGTTTGGATTTTTAGTTACAGTTTGTATGTACTTTGTTTTCGGACTGAATTTTCTCCACTTAAAGACTGTTCCTGGGAGAGTTTTTCTCCAGCCGAAGGTAACCTGGACATTGGGAGCAAAGTTGGAGATACTAAAGGGACTCTTCTTGCTTATTTGACTGTGTTGCCTTTGTGCCATGCCCCGGGTCATCACAGGAGGTTAAGTACTGAAAAGAATATTGTAGGTAATATGGAGGCAATTTATTTGGTTCCCTATTAGAAGATTGATGGTCTTTATTTCAGCTTCCTCCAATATGGGGCTCCAGATTGTTCTTCCTGAGAACTTTGTGAGTTATAACCCCAACCTAAGAAACCAGATTGAGAAAATGTCTTTTGCATATTGGAATGCAACTCCCATTGCCTCTAACTATTGGCCATGTTGTTTGAGGACAATGTAGGCCAGTCCATCAGCCAAAGGTTCCTATCTATGCTACATTTTATTATTCTCCTGTTTTGGGAACAAAAGAAATAGCTTTTGCAGAATCCAACAGATGAGAAGTTATGATCCAGCCATAATTTTAGCAGTAACTTGATCCATAGAGAACAGAAACTGAAGAATTTCCCACATGCTGTTTTCTTCAAATTAAGCTGGAACTAAAGGCATAGAAGAATGGAGCTGGTTTTAAAAAAAGGACAAACATGATTTTTCCCTTCTTTGGCTGTGTGTTTTCTTGCACTACTGTGATTCCCCCAAGTTAAATCCATCAACCAGCTCTTCCAAGTCTCCTTTCTTTAGTCCCTGCCTTGGACTGAAATAACTTTGAAACTGTCTAACTTGTGGTAGGCACCAGTCCATAACTAGTGAACAAAAGTCAGTGTGCTTATCAGTTGCTTCTACAAGGCAAGCTTTGTTCCTCTTTAGAATACTCTTGCTTCACTGAAGTTGTTGTGATGTGAGCATCTAGTACAGTACATTTTTGCATTGGCCAGTATAAGTAGTTAAAGGGTTATTTCTGGAGTACTGGAACTGTGCAGACAACTGAGGGAAGAAATGTGATGATTCCAAAGGAAGGGAAATCTATGACTCCAGATTTCATTAGAAAGAGGATAATTGCTAAACCGTAGCCTGTGCTTTGCTTCTCTTGGCCATTTCCTTCCTGTCCAGTTACATGTGCTCAGGATAGTCACTTTTCAATTATGCGAATATGTCAGGGATCCTTGTGCAAGTAATTTTTTTTTTTTGATGTGGCTATGTCAGAAAATAGGTGGTTTAGAGAAAGTTCCCTTTAAAAAACATTCCATCATTTTTTTCACATTAATTTCCTTATCTTGGCATTTTATTTGGTCAAATCTTAATCCACAAAGATTAATTTTAATGTGTGGAAAATAGCTGCTGTGGAAAGTGTACAGGCAGGCAGGCAGGCAGGCAGGATTTACGGATTAGTGGTTATGCACCTAAATTATGCAAATTTACAAGACAAAAGAACCTGGAGGCACAAAAATTGGAGAGAGAAAGAGCAGACTGAGGAATGGTAGAGAGAACCAGAAGATTGTAGATTTAATCTGTCTTTGTAGATCTAACCTATCTTTCAGAGTGTCTTTTTATCTAATTTTTGTTTCTCTCTGTTTTCAGGACCAGGCCGTCCATTTACAGCGATAGATTTCTCCCATCAAGGCCCTGCTTTTGTTACCTGGCATAGGTATCATTTACTACTCTTAGAAAGAGACCTGCAGGTTAGTGGTCATCACTGTCTCCATCGTGTATCTGAAAGAAGCAACTAGGTCATCTTCTGGCCTCCATAATATTCCAGGAAGGGAAACATTCTCAATACAAGAAATGAAAAATATGGCTCACTGCATCTTCTATCAGAGCCAAGGTCAAGCAAAGTAGAGGCAGAAAAATGATGAGTGGGATCAAAACAGAACATCATTATTATGGTAACTGACCAGAAAGCGGTATAATCATGTGAGCTATATACTACTAAACTCTCATGTTTGCAATCTTTAACTGGGCAAAATATTTTATTTATTTTTATTTATTTGATTTGTCAATCACTTACAAGATAATAGGTATAAGAATAAACATGAATACAGGAAATAAGTTCAAATAAATGGGGACAATAGGACAGGGACGGTAGGCATGATTGTGCACTTACACATAGTAATATATATATAAAACAGGTATGTATGTATGTATGTATGTATGTATGTATGTATGTATGTGGATCTTCGGTTATTCTCGGAGAAGCACAAAGCCGAAGACACAAGGCTGAAGATGATGAATGAGACTTCATCGAAACGTTGCCTAGATACTTCCAATTTTACGCGGGAGAAAACCCGAATAACCAAAGATCCACATACAAATACCCGCGAAAACCTCAGAATATATATAATATATATTTCTTAAGTATGGTATTCAGCTTTGTTCGGGTATTTTCCCATGTCATTATAGTTGTGCTTTTAAAGTTGTAGCAATGTTTTGGCAGAATCTCCTCTTGCTGGAGTTGATGTTGGTATAATGGGCTGTGTGATGGCCTTGTGAGTTTTGTTGTGGAGATATCCTGGATCCTGTGCTGTAATCTCCTGGGTCATTTGTTTTGTAGTGATCTTTTTTCCATTAGCCTCTCGTGTTTTAATGGCTTGGGTAACTCCATCAACAAATCAAGAGACAGCAGCGCAGCCAACCAGCCCCCACCACCAGTATTTTTAGAGAGACAGCAGCTCTGATCACACACTGCTTGCACTGGCACGAAGCCGAAAGCACCAGCCTGAGGATGGCGAGTGGGACCTTGCCGAAACATCGCCAAGATACTATTAATCTTACATGGGAAAAGACCCGAACACACCTAGACCTACATATCTGTACCCGTGAAAATCTACGAAACCAAATATATATCATAATTATCAACCAGAAACCTGATGATGGCAGATGAGATTCTGCCGAAACGTTGCTACAACTTTAAAAGCACAACTACAATGATGTGGGAAAATACCC